GTATTTAGCTTATCGAGGTCTCCTGTGGCAGCCATGACACAGTTTCCTAATATGGGCATATAACCAGCCTTAACTTGTCCTAGTATGTGCGGCACAACCAATAAGGAAAACGAAAAGATGAATAATATAACCCTTAGGAAAAAAACAACCATTTTTTCCGAATTTCAACCATTAAAATCCATTGCGCAACCATTACAAATCATTGCATAACCATTGCTGCAACCAATTGAAATGGTTTCCAACCATTACATTGCAACCATTAAAATTTGGTTGAAAACTTTGGTTGCATATCATTGAAATTATGGAATCATTTGCAACCATTACAAACCATTGATTGTTTAAGTTGCATTTTACCAAATGGTTGCAACTATTTTCAACCATATTGTGGAAATTATTTAGTTTAAGAATGAGACAATTTGAAATTATTTCAATTTCAAATTACAGTAGTTCATGTTTATGGGCATATTATTTCTAATTAATTGAAGAGAATAAGGTTTATTCATTTTTGGCACTGGATATGACTTTAAGTTCATTCTCATAGGCATATTATTTCTATAAAGAATAAGGTTTATTCATTTTTGGTACTGAATATTACTTCAAGTTCATGTTCATAGAGATAGTATTTCTATTTTATTGAAGAGAATCAAGTGTATTCATTTTTGGCACTGGTCATTCTTGTAGTTTATTTGGAAATTCCTTCTTGATTCATTCAGTTTTACTGAACAATACAACAAAACATTCTGTGGAAATTTTCTGTTTTTCTCCTGTCTCAACAAAAAAATGTTTCTGACTAAAAGTACATACATACATATTATAAAACATCAAAGATTGTATTTCCTGCCTCTTATTTATGATTTGGATTAAGCTAGTGCCAAAATAACTGCTTCTTCAATATCAAAGAAGTCTTATTACAACAATTAAGTAGATTAAACTGAAAATGTTTCCAAAACATGATTTTGAAACATCAACATCCTTGTATTTATGCTTTGGATTAGGCAAGAGCCGGATTGATTGTCTTTTCTTCAATATCATTTACAAATCAAAAAATATTAATTACTATTGGATTAAACTTTAATCATAATGACTGAAAGGGAAATATCTTAAACACTTGAATAGATGATATTTCCTTTTACTAGACATGGTTTTATGCCTATGAGCATGAACTTGAAGTTGGATATGTCTCAAAATTGTATTATGAACTTAAGTTAACTATCGCTAGAAAAAAGAGAATTCATCAAGACCATAGCTGGCTTCAAAAATCTTAATGTGAATCTCATCTAATTTACTATGATTGTGTCATTATTATGGTAGGGGGAATTCAAAAATAAATTATTCAGACAAAAATAATTCTTTAAAAAAGAATTAATTTGTAATGATTTTGTTAAACTATCAAAACAGAACTTTATCTAATTGGCTGTTCAATGGTTATAATTAGCATTTCAATGGTTATAATTAGCTTTTCAATGGTTATAATTAGCATTTCAACCGTTGCCGCTCTGTCTGTGCAACTGTTGCTGCTCTGTCTTTGTACCTTATCTGAATTCAATAATGTGAAATCTTAATTTGTATAAATTTTCTTAATGAAAATAAGCCAGCAAAATTAAACAATATAGAATTGAAACAAAAAAGAATCCTTATTTTCTTACAAGATTTCTGCATTTTTCATTCTCCTTAAAAACGATACCTGATAAGTGATTGCAATAGTCATAGAAATAAGTGTTTAAAATCCTAGGGATTAGATTAAATGATATATACAAATAAGTGTATGTTTTTTGTTGTTCTGGAAGTGACGTCAGACTTGTCATTGAGAACAAGATCCGAGACACACAAAGTCCCAAAAAAATTCTTTAATGAGAGAAGAGTGTGATAGACTGCAGACTACAGACATGCTTACTTAAAAAAAACATACTAATAATATCAACATAGCCATAGCTAAAAATTATTTCAAATTCATGCAGTTTTTCACCATATTGAGGACTTTTCAAGTGATTTTGGCCAATTTTTGGCCATTAAGTTATAAAATAGGAATCCCCTTGTAAATTTGTCAAAAGTGCAAAAGCTGGCTACAGGTCTGCCCATGAGCATTCATTTTGAGGATTAATGGTTGCAATAGTTGCAGTTCTCCATCAATGGTTGCAATCAATTGTAACTGTTAATTTCGATGGGTAATGGTTGTAATGGTTTTGCGATGGTTTCTCAAAAATGGTTGCGTAACCATTGCAACTTTATGTAAAAAGGGTTGAAAAAATTGGGTGAAGTAATGGTTGCGCAATGGTTTTGAATGGTTGATATAATGATTTTTCCTTTGATCTTCAAGGTTGAAATGATGGTTACATGATATGCAATGAAACCGTTGAATTTCGGAAAAAATGGTTGTTTTTTTTATAAGGGAAGTAAACATGAGCATGTTCCACGAAGTGTACACATCCATATGCGAAATCTACTGTTCTGACGAATGACAAAAAAAGCGATTCAAGGCTAACAGCATATTTGTCAGTATCGACATCGCTGTTGCAATTCCACTAATTGCCGCCACCAATTCACACATTACAGCATCGAAAACCCATTTTTCTAAGATTGTGGTCACAGCGAAGAAAACGAGGTTTATTGAATTGATGATGTCTATAGTTGATAAGCAGGCAATGAGTAAATGTATAGGTCTACGTAAATGTTGTGTACAGATAACTGCCAAAACAGAGCCATTACCAACAAGTGCTACTATAGCGGCAATTGCAAAAACTACTCCTATTGTGTAGGTGCCTGCAGGTGTATCCCCTCTGTTAATGTCTAACGCATCTAATTGTTCAGTTGTATTCATGCTCACTGTTCAAGCTACCGACTGTAATGACAGGCTCTTATTATTGCAGTGTATTTATAAGTGTGTTATTATAATGAGGCAAATACGTGGGTGATGGTCATATCTGTGACAGTAGACTGCTATCAGGCATGTCTCATGTGTGATTGCTTTCATTATATTGGGTAACCTGAATGCCTTTATGCAAAGAGTCCCATCGTGTAAAAGGTAACACGACTTTGGATGGTAATGACTCTCATTCTCTGGATTATTGAGAAATGGTATTACTTTGTTGGCTTTTCCCTACAACTGAGTCATGCAAATAGTCCCTGATCAATCTCGAAATCCTCTTAACAATAACCCATAGAAATGTTTGATTATGCCAGCCCCACCAAAAGCACAATCATGTGTGATTATTCCACCGAACTAAGTTCCAGGGGGATATAGGAAAGCCTTTCGTCTGTCCGTCTGTCTGTCTTAATTCAAAATGGCCGCCATCTTTTCCTAAAAAATGTAATCTATGATAACTCAAATACCAGTAGACGGATTTTGTTCAAATTTTATGATTATGCTGATGCCTAGGGACACAGGAGCTCTGCTCAATAAGGAATTTTTAAGATGGCAGCTGAATTTCAAAATGGCGGTATTTTTCTTAAAAGAAAGTAATCTTTGATAACTCAAATACCAGTTGACGGATTTAGTTCAAATTTTATATGCTAATGGCTAGGAACAAAGGAGCTTTTGCTCAAGAAAACATTTTCAAGATGGCTGCTTAATTTCAAAATGACCACCATTTTTCGTAAAATGTTGATGCCTAGGGATGAAGGAGCTTTGTTCAAGAAGATATTTTCAAGATGGCTGAATTTCAAAATGGCTGCCATTTTTTTGTAAAACAACGTAATCTTTGATAACTCAAATACCAGTAGACAAACTTTGTTCCAATTTTATATGCTGATGCCTAGGGACAAGGGAGCTCTGCTAGATAAGGAATTTTCAAGATGGAATCTGAATTTCAAAATGGACACCATTTTTTGTAAAAGATCTTAATCTTTGATAGCTCAAATACCGGTTGACGGATTTGGTTGAAATATTAAATGCTGATGCCTTAAGGGAGAAAGAGCTCTGCTCATGGAGACATTTTTAAGAAGGCCACTTCAATTTCAAAATGGCCACAATTTTTTGCAGAAAATGATCAAATACCGGTAGACTGCTTTGGTTCAAATTTTATACACTGATGCTTAGAGTTAAAGGAACTCTCCTCAAGATGGCAGCTATAGCCACCATTTTACATAAAAAAAACATGATCTTCAAAATCTCAAATTCCAGTAGACAGATTTGGCCAAATATTTCATATGTTTGAGATGTTCAAGAAGATGGCTTTGGTTCAAATTTTATACACTGATGCTTAGAGATAAAGGAACTCTCCTCAAGATGGCAGCTATAGCCACCATTTTACATAAAAAAAAACATGATCTTCAAAATCTCAAATTCCAGTAGACAGATTTGGCCGAATATTTCATATGCTTGAGATGTTCAAGAAGATGGCCACTATTTATCAAAACATGTATTGTTCGGTGGGATTTGCTGATCGGTGGTTGGCGATCGGCAATCGGTGGTTGGCGTCTGTAACAAATTCTTAAAACTTCCAATTTACTTAACAAATTCTGTTTAGACTGACTTCAATTTTTTTCAAAATCATCTACAAGTTTTCAGAAGTTCAAATCTGACTTTATATTTAAGATTTGACCACCAGTGACCTTTTCAAGGTAAAAAAAGGTCAAAAAGGTCTTTTTTCAACTTGCTTCAAATTGACCAAATTTTTTTTCAAAATCATCTATAAGTTATCAGAACTTCAAATCTGACTTTAGATTTGAGATTTGACCTTCATTGACCTTCTCAAGGTCAAAAAAGGTAAAAAAATGGTCTTTTTTCAACCAATTTTTTTTCAAAATCATCTAGAAGTTCTCAAAAGTTCAAATCCGACTATAAGTTCTCAGGAATTCAAATCTGACTTAAGATTGAACTAAAAATGTTGTGAGCAACAAGGTGGTGACATTTTGTCATGTTAATGCCTTGTAGATGTTTTCAAGCGTCGCAAGATTTCTTGGCAGCCATCTTGAATGAATGAAAAAGTCAGAATATTACTTTTGGACAATTATAGATATTCCACTTTTATTTATCTCACTTTTCCTATTGATTTATATAGAAGCGGCGAAAAACTAAACACCTAACATCTGTGACCCAAGGATTAAAACCAAAGGATAGACAGACTTACAAACGACACAATGTTGATGACGCGATACAAGAGATCACTGGTTTGTTGAATAAATCAAAAGATGAGAAAATCAAGAGCTGTAGTTTTGGATTTATCCCCATAGCCTCTAAGAGGGAACAAACACAAGCTAATACAGGTAATCATTAATTTTTTTGTTGAAAGTGCAATATTGAAGTTGTCTTATGTTGATGGGTGTGCAACTGTGTGGATGGGCAAGTTAATACATCTTAAATCAAGATATTGTATTCTCTTAATGAGTGCATGCACAAGTAACATGTTGAGTAAGATACATTATGAGATCAAATGTACACATTGTATTATATAACAGCAAAGCACAACTAGTGCTAGGACTCCCACTCGGAAACTATAGCTTAGGCCAAAAATTGGGGGAAGATGGAACACCAAGTAAAGGTCTTTCATGTTTCACCTTCTATTGTAGGCAGCACAAAAACTTTTCTTTCATGAACCTTGAAAATAGAGGTGAAAGAGGACATTGTAACTGGTTCTGATTCATCCCAAAAAACAATTTTCAAGTAAAGATATAGAGGAGCTGTTCGTCTGTCAAAATTTTGCTGGATTTATCCAGATATTAATCTTCATATATGAAGGAATGTATGCCATGCAAACAGTTTTTTTCATGGCCACTCAATTCAAAATGGCCACAATTTCGTTTTTGGTTTTTAGTGGATTACAAGAAGATTAAGTTACATGTATTCGTTGAGTAAAATAAAGATATATATATTTTGATAAAAATTCATATTTCTAGAGCATCTAACACATACTGAAAAGCAAATCAACACAAAAAGCAAAACAATGCTGGTGAGAAAATTGAAGCAAGATGAAATAATGAATAATAAAAATTCCATGATGGATGATATTGCAAGTGATATTGGATCACCAGATGTGAAACTAAATCAGCTTAGTTTCAATACGTCATTAGTAGGGAGGACTAAAGAGGAGAAATTTGCTCTGGACATTGAGGTATACAGATATGACAGATGTAGACTGTTACATGCAGGATAGTCTGTTACTTAAAAGGTTAAACTTACAGGTATTAATACAGTTTTATTATGTCACCTCCAAAAAGTGGTGACATATTGTTATGGTCTCAGTTGGTGATCGGCGGTTAGCATCTGTAACAAATGGTAGTGACATTTTGCATGTTTGTGCCTTGTTGTTGTTCTTATTGTTCTTGTTATGCTTTACCCCTGTTATTTTCTTTTTTTTCTTTTTGAAGTTATACTTGGGTAAGATTATGATATATGGTAGGCCCTATTCTAATAACACACAGTGCGGGGATTTCTGAAAGACAATTAGTCAGAAATCTATGCCAAGACTTGGGTTTGAAACCTGAACCTTGGGCTCAGATCTTATGGGACAAACAATGGCCTCTAATAGCAAGACAGTATCCGGACTTATTACAACTTGAAGCAAAATTGAAAATAAGTTCAGATGAAAGAAACCCGAGCCATACGAAAGGAAATGCATCACTTATTAATAGATTGTCAATGTCTTGTCAAGTGATACTCAGTCTTATTAAGCAAAAAGGAAAAAGGAAGTTGAAATGGAAAAATTGTGTGATCATCTTTCAAGCAAACTGATTTTTGTAGAAATGTATAATTATTCAAGGTGTGATAATTGGAGAAGTTTTTGTTTTTCGTTCAAAATGACTGGCTACAAAATGTCCTGTCAAAACTTTGAGAAGTCAAAAAAGAATTGGTCCAGCGTTATCAAAGTAACTTTGGGCAATTTTGTCTGTCAAAAATACTTTCGAATATGTCACATCCCTCGATAATTATAATGTTCATATTTTGATCAATTTTTAGGACATGTGTATGTTTATTTTGATTTGACTCACACATGTAATTTTTTGATGGTTTGGCTGTTTCCTTATGTTAAAAATAAAAAATGTGGCAGATCTTATTGTTTATCAAGAATTGAATGGTTATTTTTAACATTCCAAGTAATCATTAAGAAACTATGAGTTGGTGGTTCCTGGGTTGAAATAGCTGATTGCATGGACTGATTTTATTATTCATTTTCATTACATGCCCATGTATAACTCATTTACAAAGAGGGGGAAAAACCCCAGGGTTCAAAGATGACATACGTCTTTAGTCAAAAATGAACTGGTGGTCGCCGGGTTGGCCTAATGGTTAAGGCATTGTTCTGAAAAGCAGGAAGTCTGGCTTCATGCTGAAAAGTAGAGGTCTTGGGTTCAAACCCAGGTCACAGCACTTCTTGTGATTTGTCTTTGACCTATGACTGCTGACCTATACCGGCGATTACTAGAGTGCTGCTAACTCGATAAAAGGCTGGCGCTGGCTAGAATTGTCTATGGTTCTAGCCAGGATAAAGATACCAGCTCTTCAACTCGACAATGGGAAGAACTGCTCTACCTTAGTGACTAATATGTCATGATATGACATCTAAAGAGTCAATAAAAGATATAATAATGTAAATCTATCAAGATCCACCATTCTGATTGGTCCAAATCAACAAACAAAAATGGCAAATTCAAAACTTTCTAAAATATCACAACGACATGTTATATTCAAAAACAAACTGGTGAGAATTTGCACAAACTAAGGTAGTACGCAAGAGACATAATATGTCTGTCATCGCGGGGTTTCCCTTCTCCTTCATTGACACATACATCCTATGGGTATTTTAATTAACTAGAATATACCAACTTATGCATCAGAAAAATAATCCATGATGAAAAATATTAGATATAAGTAACTATGTAGGTTTGATTAATTATTACATTAACCAATAGTTGATTTTGGATCCTTAAAAGAGAGCTTCATCTCCACTCATTTTCATAGTACAGGGTGTTAAAAAAACGCAACCCAAAGAAAATACTAATCTAATTATGTTCACATTTTCAGGAATGAAAGAAGAGACTATGTATGTATAGCCCCTGTTGTTAGTTAGTTGTAAAACATGATGTCTTGGACACTTGCTCAGAAGACAGTTGTACTAGCAAAATACGAAAAAGCGAATGGAAATCACTATATCTTGAAAAATACTAATTCAATTATGTTCATTTTTCAGGAAAAGAAAGAAGAGACTGTGTATGTATAGCTCCTGTTGTCATTAAGTTGTAAACCATGATGCCTTGGACACCTGCTCAAATGACAGTTGTACTAGGAAAATATGAAAACGCAGTCAGAGGTAACTGCCGAAGCAATAACTTTCTAACCATGGTGTTTTGCCACTTCAGATTTGGCACAAATTATCCTCATTCAATGTGTGGTGAATTTATTGAGTTTCATCAAAATCACTCCAGGGTCTTTACAGTCATGGTCAAAATGCCTTCTTAAGTCACCCTGACCAGGGTGTTTGACTGCAATTTGAAAGCATTTCAACCATGACTGTAAAGTCCCTGAAGTGATTTTGATTTCACTCTACAGATTTACCATACAGTGAATGAAGATAATTTGTGCCTTTGAAGAGCCAAAACACTATGGTTAGGAAGTTATTTAATTTTTTTGCGGTTGCCGTCATCCCTGACTCATTTACATGAGGTATACATACACAGTCTCTTCTTTATTTCCTGAAAATATGAACATAATTGAACCAGCGATTTTTTGGGGTTGCGTTTTTTTAACACCCTGTACCATTAAACCGTGATCTTTCAGTATGTTAGTCTAGTAGTTTAATCTTAAAATTAATTTTACCAAATTGATTGTAGTGTTTCACTCTGTATATCTGAAAAGTGTTCTATTTATGCATCCAAATTGATACAATTTCACTGACATTGCCAAATAATTTTCTTAAATTAATTTTGTAACCATTGTGAAAAATTGATATTCAATTAAACTGTAAAGTGGTAATTTTGCCAAATCATTTAATTTGCCTAATTTTTTGCCAGGATGGGAAAATGAAATGTCAGAAATATTATCTTCATAATGTCATCCAATGGGAAGTTTCTTGTCATTAGGGAAATAAAAATTAGGAAAATGATAAAACTTGACTATAGGCAAATTAACTTTATTTGTATTAAATACCACATATACAGTACATAATTGAAGATTAATGAAATATCAATTATTAAACATTGTAGATGTACACAAGAAATGAGAAAGCTTTTGAGCATGATGTCCGCAGATTTATGGATCGTAACAACAGAAAAATCTCCAGACTCCCATGCTGGCAGGGTATCAATATAACACTATTTCAACTATTCCTTGCTGTATATGACAGAGGGGGATTCAAGAAGGTATTTTGAATTAAAGATAATTACATAAAGATGTTATAAACTATTTTACTCTATTTAAATTATATTTATTCTACTGTACTGTATGAAGGCCACTCTTTACGAAGGTGAACCACCAACACTTCCAAAAGTTAATTTTGTTAATTTGTAAAAAGTATAGGTGTAAAAGAATTGATTTCCCTTGTCTTAAAAGTAAAACTATCATTACCATCCCAAATAAGTTACTAAAAGTTCTTTGTTTTATAAGGTGAAAAGTTACAAAGGAGGGTGGCAGGGAGTTTACAATGAACTAACTGGGATGAACTCTCATGCTGGTGGTGGAAATGTAGCGGCCTCATATTATACTAGGTACTGTATATACAGGGTGTTCGGAAAATAAAGATACAAATGCTCTAATTTCAATAGATTTACCTGTTGTGAGATGAAATTACTACAGATTGTAGAATGACATTATGACAATTTATCCTGCAAATGTCATGACAAATTGTTTCAAAATGAAAAAGTTATGGTAACGGTAGTCCTGGGTATGTGGAGCAGCGTCACAATTATGTTTTATAATCCTTTTCTCCTGCTCATATCATCTTGACACTCCATCATCTGTTGCCATTATACATCAAATTATGTACCAAAAGAGCAAAAGAAGTAGTACTGTAATATTATTTGGTCATTTGACATTACTACTCTTATCCAGTATCCCTTATACAAATTTACTGGCTGTCACAGCCCGCTGTCACAGCGCTCTCGCAGCCCGCTGTCACAGCGCTCTCGCAGCCCGCTGTCACAGCGCTCTCGCAGCCCGCTGTCACAGCGCTCTCACAGCCCGCTGTCACAGCGCTGCGACAGCGCTCTCACAGCGCTGCGACAGCGCTCTCACAGCGCTGTGACAGCCCATCGGAATGTACCATGCAAATGAGGCTGTGACAGCGCTATCACAGCATTGCCATATATGGCATTGATTATGCATCCTTCCTACACATAAATTTTAGTTAAGAAGATAAGGGATATCAGAAAACATTTAGCTACCAAGACCCTGCATTTCCATCTAACTGATGACAATATATTTGCACCCTAGATCAAGTTTGCATTTAATTAGAAACTTACTTTATGGATTCAAGCCAGCATATATATCTATGCACTCCTTATTTGGTTTTTGCCTTGAATTCCATTGTTCAGTTTGAAAGATGTGTTATAGCTGTTATTGTACATGTACATACATGCAAATTGCCCCAATTGTATCAATTTTATCCTTTATGATGCACTTTAATGTCTATATGTGCTAATACATTGATATTTCAGACCTTTAGTTTAACCATGCAGTATGTACTAACTTGCACAAAATTCATTTCATTTGATCCTTTTTCTTAGATCACTAGAACATTCCAAAGGTATCTATAAATAATCAGTAGTACAATACCTTACATATGCTTTGTAAATTAGTAATGATATGATGGCCATTTCAGCATTACTCCTTTGTTCTTTCCTCCTACAAAATTCCTGCTCTAACTGATTTTTAGTTTGAATTTTTTAACCCACAATGCATTGGTACTTCCTGCTGTGAGAGGGCTGTGAGAGTGCTGTGAGAGCGCTGCCACAAACTGTGGCTAAGAGAGCATGTTGCTGTAATTGATCCAGCCACTTAATTACTGTCACATCCCTCTCGCAGCGATGGATGGAAATAGAATGCTGTGACAGCGCTTTCACAGCGTTCTCGCAGCGTATGGATGTGAGAGGATTGTTGCTGAAATTGATCCAGCCATCATTTTAAGCCTATATGCTGTCACAGCGCTGCGACAGCGCTGTAACAGCGCTGTCGCAGCAATTATTTTCCGTAAGGGATTATGTATTTCCCAACATTATCTAAACATTCGTGGTGCATCTTGCCCAGAGATTCAAAGACCTGACAAAACCGCTGCTGTCCATCTCTCAGATTACTGATAAAATCGGCTTCAAGCAGAGTCTCTTTTCACGTTGAACTTCTAACAAATATGCTTCAAGATATTCATTAGTGTAGAAGTCCAACAGGACATTATCAGGGTAATATGGGTCATTGTACAAAAAGGTTTAATGTCAAGACATTCAATTGTAAGATTTGTTTTCTTTGCTAAATGTGAATTGGTGCATTGTGGAGGTGCACTATATACTTTCCTATTAATCCAGGGACCTTTTTTCTGAGCACTTATATAATTTTTATCGTACTTATCATACCTAACAAGAGGTACGATATTGTAGTCAGCTTGACGGGTGGCGGGCGGCGTCTCACTTTTCAGCTTGTCTACAGGTTTCCAGCCAAACCATTTGAGGGACTCATCTGAAATTTTCAGGGATGTTTCTACATATCAACGTCAAGAACTGATTAGTTTTTGGGCATTCTGGGTAAATTTTAAGGTCGCCATTTTGGATTTTCCGTCCTAAAATCTTCACTTTCAAGACTTGTCTACAGGTTTAGTCAAACCATTTGAGGGATTCATCTGAAATTTTCAGGGATGTTTCTACATATCAACGTCAAGAACTGATTAGTTTTGGGCATTCTGGGTAATTTTAAGGTGGCCATTTTGGATTTTCGTCCTAAAATCTTTACTTTCAAGACTTGTCTACAGGTTTCCAGCCAAACCTTTTGAGGGATTCATCTGAAATTTTCAGGGATGTTTCTACATATCAACGTCAAGAACTGATTAGTTTTTGGGCATTCTGGGTACATTTTAAGGTGGCCATTTTGGATTTTCTGTGCTAAAATCTTCACTTTCAAGATTTGTCTACAGATTTCCAGCCAAACCATTTAAGGGATTCATCTGAAATTTTTAGGGATGTTTCTACATATCAACGTCAAGAACTGATTGGTTTTTGGGTATTCTGGGTAAATTTTAAGGTGGCCATTTTGGATTTACCGTCCTAAAATCTTCACTTTCAAGACTTGTCTACAGGTTTCCAGCCAAACCGTTCAAATTTTTACATATGTTACACAGTGATAAGTTCTAGAGCTGATTAACTTTTCTGCGGCCATCTTGCTTTCTTGGTCAACAAGACCACAATGCTGTGTTTTAGGTACGATATTGTTCACGTCTGTGCCTTGTTCTTTGATTATACTGGTGACATTACATAGTTCTGATATGTATCAATGATATCATTATACTTAAGAAAATACTATGGCAGCAAGTATACAATATTAAACATATACAAAACATTGATAGGAAATACAATAATAAACACTGTTTCAAATGGTTAAATTTTAGCAATTTATGACAATTTAGCGATATCATGGAACTGCTCCGCATAACCCTGACCACCGTAACCATGACAATCGTAACTTTAACACAATTAGACTATATGTTATAAAAGTTGGTAGATGTGTTGTAATATAGTTCCTTTACAATCTGTAGTAATTTCATTACAAAAAACCTAAATCTCTTAAAATTAGAGTGTTTGTATCTTTACTTTCCGGACACCCTGTATGTTGCCCTGAAACTTGTACCAAGATAAATAAGGAACAAATCTTAGCATCCTCCAAAGCACAGGGATTCAGACTTAATCCATTGCATTCCTTCCTTCTTCCAAGATAGGAAGGAAGACTTCTGGACACTCTGAATCATTGATGAATACTCTTGAAATTTGGTAATCTGACAGACAACTTAATTACTATAAACATATGAAAGTTTCATTTTGGTAACTCTTTTTTAAAGAAAAACTTGTTTAGGACCATCACCTATTTTCAATGTTTGGAATTGCGTTCTACTCTAAGAGCGAGGAGGAAAATTCTTAATAAATGGAGTATAGTTGGTTTGGCAGCATTTTCAGTTAGAAGGAAGTCTTGGATGAAAATTCTACCTAGGTGATAGCTTCACAGAGTGGTACATAATTCTTTTTTTCAGGGATTAGCCCCCCACCCCCCAAAAAGACCCCACCCCGGGAAAATAATTTTTTCATTCTCGACAACTTTAGATATCTTGATGTTTGTAAGTTACATACATCATTATATATATGAATCATTTGCATAATAAATAATGCCAATCACTCCTACAGAATTTGAATAATAGTACAAAGTATGTACCCCAGGGGGCAAATTCGTGACCCATTTTCTTACTTTTTAGAGCCTCACTTTTGATTCAGACACTGGAGGATATTGGAAAAATTCATGTGAAGTGCTCAGTAGCAGGGCTATAAGGCGTGAAAGGTTCAGACTAATTGAAGCAGTAGGAACCGAGAAAAAAATTGTTGAATTTTTGAAAATTTTGACATTTTTGAGAGGGGTGATTTTGGGTATGACTATAGCTGATGCCTATGGTTTCTATATCTATCCCTCTTTGATTATAAATATGGTTTTGAAGTATTGAACTAAGATGTAAAAGATAATTAAAATGGGTTTGAAGGAAGTTTAAAGTTTTAAACAAGTTCAAAATTCGAAGAATTGTACAATATCAGGTCTGAATTTACGAATTTTAGGTAAGACCTTGGGTGAGCCTTAGATTTTTTACATCTGTCCCACCTTGATGATATTTATAGTTTTGTAGTGCGGAACTAAGATGTACAAAATAATTAAGATGGTTTTTAAGAAGGTTTAAGGGTTTTAATAAGTCCAAAATTTGAAAAATTGTACAATATCAGGTCTGAATTTGCGAATTTCAGGTAAGACCTTGGATTAGCCTTATATTTTTTAGGTATGTCCCTCTTTGATGATATGTATGGTTTTGTAGTGTGAAACTAATGAGTAAAAATAATTTAGATGGATTTGAAGAAGGTTAAAGGATTTTAAATGAGTCCAAAATTTGAAGAATTGTACAATATCAGGTCTGAATTTATGAATTTCAGGTATGACCTTTGAGGACCCTTATGTTTTTTACATCTTTCCTTCTTTGATGCTATTCATGGTTTTATAGTGTGGAACTAAGATGTAAAATATAATTTAGATGAATTTTAAGAAGGTTGAAGGATTTTAACAAGTTCAAATTTTGAAGAATTGTACAATATCAGGTCTGAATTTGCGAATTTCAGGTAAGACCTTGGATGAGCCTTATACTTCTACATCTGTCACTCTTTGGTGATATGTATGGTTTTTTGTAGTGTGGAACTAAGATGGTATAAAAATGATTTAGATGGTTTTGAAGAGTTTTTAAGGATTTTAATGAGTCCAAAATTTGAAGAATTGTATAATATCAGGTTTGAATTTTCAAATTTCTGGTATGACCTTGGACGACCCTTTTGTTTTTTACATCTGTCCTGATGATATTTATGGTTTGATGATATTTATGGTTTTATGGTGTGGAACTAAGATGTTCAATATAATTTAGATGAATTTTGAAAAGATTTAGGATTCTAACATCAAAATTTGAAGAATTGCACAATATCAGGTCTGA